ACCATAGACTTTGCATGTAAACCTGCTGCTCCTGACGCTGAAATCGCGTTTGGTGTGAACGCACCATTAGTTGTGTGAGGTTAGTATAGTTAAAATGGATAAATGTAGTATAAAAATATTGTTACTATGCCCATGTTTTGTTGACCTGATACAAATGTTTACCATCCAAAAATAGTTGGGATTTTGTGGGTCAAAAGCTGAAAAGTTTGGGAACCAAAGTGCACTGGTTCCCAAACTCAGCTTTTGACCCACAACATAGTACAAAACAGTAGCAGAGACCTGAGCCCCCAACTATTTTTGGATGGTAAACATTTGTATCAGGTCAACAAAACATGGGCATAGTAACAATATTTTTATACTACATTTATCCATTTTAAATATACTAACCTCACTCATTTGTAACAACTATGGCAAAAATGTGATTAATTCAGAAAAAATTTTCAGGACCCCATCTTGGTGTTTTGGGACCCCACTTTGGGTCCCGACCCCAACTTTGGGAAACACTGGTCTAGAGTTCATTAAGAGTTGGAGTGATTGCAACTGTTTGCTGATTAACAGGCTTTTTTGCTGAAATGCAATCATCTGAATCAGGTGTTAAAGCAGGGAAACATTTTAAACARGCAGGGCAGTGTGCCTTGAGGACCAGGGTTGAAAAACGCRGGTCTAACACACTGTGATGTGAGAAGATTCATTAACATTTACAAACTGGAATCTATCAAATAAATGACTTGAACCATTTTAGAGCCATTCCTGTAATCCCAACATCAATAAGTCTCTGTAATAGAATATCATGATCAATTGTATCAAATGCAGCACTGAGATCTAACAGGACAAGAACGGACACCAGTCCACGGTTTGAAAGTACAAGTATGGACATGTCCACTGTCTGAGCCCGTTGTAACTTTCACCAGTGCTGTTTCTGTGCTATGATGAGCTCTAAACCCCGACTGAAAATCCTCAAATAAATTATTTCTGTCCAGATGTTCYCACTATTGATTCGCAACTATTTTCTCAATATTTTTTTACGTGAATGGCAGACAGGTCTATAATGGGCCAAAACATATACCATCAGAAAGAAGATTAAAGAGATATATAAACAGTGTGGGACAGTGTACTCACCGCCTCTGTGTGGACAGGGTGCACAGCGAAGAGCAGTGCAGCGACGAAGGCTAAGCATGGGTTTTCGAAGATGCAGTGTTCACATGTATACATAAGCAGGCAGGTGACAGCACAGTGCAAACACACGTTGACAAGGTGGAAATAAAGGGGCGTCATACCACCAAGCAGGATGTTCAACCTGAACAGCACAGAAACACAAAAAGCCAGAGGTGGAAAACATACTAAAATTACATACGCAAGTAAAAGTACTATTGGTCAAAATTTTGTTCAATTACAAGTAAAAGTGTGTAAAAATCTACTTAAATAAAATTAAAAAGTAAGTCATTGGAGTCACGTGGTGAGGTGCAAGGGAATGGCTGCGTTGTAGAAGAGCTCCTAACCCCGTCAACATTATTTTAAACAAATAACTTCGAAAACTCTCCTACTAACATCCTACTTGAAGCTTGTGTGCACGCTCACTATATTTGAGTGATTTGACCGAAATATGACGACGGCAAGTGAAAGAAAACGAAGCGTGCAGACGCGCCTCCACGCTGTTGCTACCAAAGGAGCTAACTCAGCTAACACTGCTAGCAAAGAAGACAGCCAAGCAACAGACATAAATGATCTGTTTGCGGAGATTGCCAAGGTGGGAGCGACGTTAAATGGAGTAGCTAGCGATGTGGCTTTGATTAAATCGGACACAGCAGAACTCAAGAACTCTGTGAATGCAATTAAAACAAGGCTAACTGAAGC